AATGGTAGTTTGTGTGGAAACCTAGCTTTGACTTCATCTGAATAATCAAGATGCCTCGACTTCTATTAATGCATATTGCTGAAGATTAACAGCAATCTCAATAGTAGGCAGTAATGGATCTAGTATATTACACCAATCTACGGTTCTTTTCATTTTCACTTGTAATCTGTAGAGTTACAGCAATCTCAATGGTAGGCAGTAATGGATCTAGTATATTACACCAATCTACAGTTCTTTTCATTTTCACTTGCAATCTTTGTGGATAACTTGGCAAGCCTTACGATAAAATGAGGCAAGATTGATAATGTTTATGTTACTAGTGTCCAAAATGTAATCCACAATAATGTGATACCGGACGGAAATTCTCCTGGATCTAAAAAGAATTGCTGAGTTTATTGAAATATATTTAATGAAATGGAGGATTTCATTATGCCATGCCCTTAATTTGAAACATTTAAGAAACTTATTCAACTGAAATTTTTCCAAACAAGTCTGTCACTGCTACTCTATCAAAATAACTCATTTCGGTGTGTTTTTCATACTTTGTAAATATTATTCTGTTCACATTCAAGGGGGAAAAATTTGCATGCACAAAAGNCTAAAATTTCAAAACTAAGGCCCTTTATTTAAAACATTCAGAATAAGCTCTTTGCTCAAAATAAAATTTCAATTTTTAAAGACAATTTGAAATCTAAAGAAATTGAAGTGGTTAAATTTAATTAAAGAATTATTGTAAAGAGACTGCAGTAGATTATGCTACATATGGTATACCTTATTGAGTGACAGGCTATTCAGAAGTGACTTAGACATATGTAATAAACACATATACATGTATATATCATAATCAATAATACTAAATGTATACAATTTCACACGGACAGTAACGTATGCTCTAAACAAACACAATAGGCACTTGATATGGCAATGATGAACAATTAAGCAAGTTTCGTAGTTTGAATCGTAAAAGTTTGATACAGGAATGTTTATGTCTGATAGGCTATATAGCTAGCAACCTATCAAGAAATATACAGCCACCACAAAATTTCACAGGGTCACATCATTTCCC